GATTCTGGCCAAGGACATGTACCTTGGCTATAATCCAGCTGATCAATGTTCTCTCTCATCGATGTTTCTAACTCTTTATCCCTCTTCCTTTCTCTCTATAAAATCAATTATATATATATATATATATATATATATATATATATATATATATATGTGTGTGTGTGTGTGTGTGTGTGTGTGTGTGTGTGTGTATAGTGTGTGTGTGTGTGTGTATATATATATATAGCCAGCAGTGCTGGGAAAGCCCTGCAGAGCTGCTTCTACAGGGTCCGGCGCTAATGGAAACTTCATGAACTAAAGGCAGCAGCTCTGAGGGTAAGAGCAGACACCAACATTCCTGGCACACGGGGCCATATTTTTCCAGGTGAATGAATCCGAATCTAAAGCTACGAGAAGCCGGTTAAAGTAGGAATTTCCAGACTTGTGGTGCTTATCTATTCCCAACAGCCCCAAAGGAGGAGAGGCCACCCCTTTCCTTCTGGGGACATGCCCTCGATCCTATTCAGGGAGATTTCAGTTCGGTCTTTAGAGTAGGATGTGCCTTGGAGAAGGCTGGCTTGATTTTGAAGACAATGTTCCTCACTTATCTCTCTTCTCATTCTGTTGTTTTAGTGTGAATTTGCATACCTTTCTTCCAATTCATCATTATGAGTTTGTTTGAGGGGGGGGGGGGTCTCACTTTCCTGTTTCCAAGTTCGTGGGAAGAGTGAAAAGAACTTATTTTACACCCATGTGCTAGTAGTATCAGTACCTCGTGGATACTCTAAAATGTGAAAAGAAATTCTATTCTTATTTAATTTGTAATAAGACTGGAATATCTACTTAACCCACACATTTTTCCCCTTCAATATTCAATATTCAATATTCAATACTACTTTTTCTTCAGTCTATTTGCCAGCTACATTTCCTTGAGGAAAATGCTGATCTCTGACCCTTCTCCTTTAGTCTTATTGTTTCCAAATGGAGGTTATTCAAAGAATACTCTCCAGTAATAGTGGTGTTTTTTTTTAAGTTAAATGTTTGTCAACAATCAATATTTTATTGAGGGTTTTTTTCTTGCTTATTGATATATATATTTTTGTTTGTAAATTTGACATAGTCTGGAAAAGATGATAGAAGACATGTCATCTTAATGTCTAGAAAAACCACTGTTAACTTTTTGGTAATCAACAGTTATTTGAGCCCATTTATTCTATACTGATCAAAACTGTATCTCTAGAATAACCTAGGAGTGAAGATAAGACTAGTACATGCAACAAAATAGGAGTGTTCAATTCAGAATTCATTCATGCCGAAACCGGTTTAGCTCAGTGGATAGAGCATCGGCCTGCGGACTGAAAGGTTCCGGATTAGATTCTGGTCAAGAGCATGTACCTTGGTGGTGGGCACATCCTCAGGAGCGGGTATGCAAGAGGCAGCTGATAGATGTTTCTCTTTCATCGATGTTTCTAACTCTCTATCCCTCTCTCTTCCTCTCTGTGAAAAATCAATAATATATATATATATATATATATATATATATATATATATTTTTTTTTTTTTAAATTCATTCATTGCCTTGAGGGAATGTACAGAAACATGCTAAACCTAGAAGATTGATCCATTTAGGGACATCATCAAATAAAGGTCATCAAATATAGAACATATCATCTAAATCAGAAGAGTGACTGATACCAGCAGTAGATTCTATCTTTTTAGATAGAGGATGGGCAGTTCCTTTAATTCTTTGGAGGTGAGGTTAAAATATAAGATTTCGAGTGAGAAATGGGAATAGTTGTGACCGAATGGTTAAGCTTCTAAATAGCATTTTCCTAAGCAATTCTGTTCATTTTCATGTTTGAGACCAAGACCCCCCAAAAAAGCCTAGAATTTGAAAAAAAATAAGAAATAACTAAAGTGTAGTAATTTAATTGGTAAATATGATCAGCCTTTTTCTTTTTTTATTGGAGAGAGAGAGAGAGAGAGAGAGAGAGAGAGAGAGAGAGAGAGAGAGAGAAAGAGCATTGACCAGCTGCCTCCTTCATGGCACCTACTGGGGATAGACTGGGCATGTGACCTGACTCGGAATCAAACCGTGACCTCTTGGTTCCTAGGTCAACGCTCAACACTGGGCCACACCAGCTGGGCAAAGATACCCTTTTAAAAGGTTGATTTTACTATGGAAATTCTCAAACATATATTAAAGTAGGGAGACTAATGTCATGAATCTACCCTTCACTCCATCTACCCTTCACTCAGCCTCAGCAATTATCTATCCACTTTTATACCTCCTTTATCCCCCCTTCCTCAAAATGAATTATTTAGAAGCAAATCCCAGCTATTTTATCATTTCAAATAGAAATACTTTGGTATGTACCCCTACAAAAGTAAAACGACTAAAAGGAAGGATTCTGATGATTTACAGATCTTAGTCTTGTTTTCTCATCAGTCTTCGTGTGTCACGGGGCTTTGAGTTAGGAAGTGAGTTCTAGACCTGGCTTTGCCACTCACCAGCTGCGTGACCAGCAGCAGTCACAGACCTTTCTGGACCTGAATTAAGACCATCTCTAAGGTCCCTTCGGGAGACATGGATTTGGTACCGGATCTGTTTGCTGTTTGTTGTTTCGGCGCAGTGCCCAGTTCAGAGTCAAGACCTGCCCAGTCTGCATTTCCCAGAGGCTGCATAATCTTTCACTTGCAACTTAAGAAGGAAATGAGCCTTGAGGTGTTCCTTAGAGCCATTTTGTGTGGCCATCAGTACCTCACCACCTTAATTCTGACAACCTCAATTCATCTTATCCAGTGTTCTGCCGAGCTGTGATGCCGGGAAGGTTTGTGTTCCAACAAACCCTCCTCCTAAAAAGGCCACCCTGAAGCCAATAGCTACGGAAAAAGTGACATTGCTTTCGGGAAAAGAGGGGTAAGTTTCTCTCTTATGCAAGGAACTGATTGGTGTCCCGTGGCAGGGTGATTGTAAAGGTATAAAGATGCCCATTTTATAGGCAAATCAACGGAATGTGAAATCGGGTGGGTGCATTTAAGGTTGCCTGGCAAATGGAGGATTACGTTGGAAGTAGAATTTATGGAAAACATAAATTATGGAAAACATAAATTATGGAAAGCATGTGACTTATAGAGGCTGAGGTTTAGGGGAAGCTCGGTTAATGGAAGAAACTTTGGATGAGAAGAAGGTACCCAGCCCAGAGGAGCACTGCCACTGGGACCCTCACAGTGTGTGCCGTAGCCTCCGTGGGTGTCCTGTGGGCGTCCATGGTTTCACACGCCGTCATCAGAACTGGGACCCTGGGAGGGGGACACGCTCTGACGCAGGTGTTTGGCTGTTGCCAGTATCTGTCCTGCTCCTCTGCAACTTGAAGAAAACCAGGGAAATGAAACTGGAGGAAGGCTATTTGAAAAAAGAAGCCATTGGTAGGAGAATGCTCACAAACGCTGCAAATTAAAAAAAAAAAAAAAAAAAAAAAAAAAAAATCACCACGACCCAAAGAAGAAAAAGAAGTGCCGCATGGAAAAAGCCTCCAGAATTGCCATTGTAGAGCACAAGCTCTAATCAGCTCTGACGTTTGGCAGGGGATTCATGGAAGCTGTTGACGGGGATTATGGTTTGGGTGCCAGGGTTTAAACTAGGGGGTAGGATTAAAAGGCACCAAAGATGAAGGCTAGTATTTCAAGCTGAAACCAATATTCCATGGAGGGGCAGTCACTGCTTTGGAAGTTTGGGGGTTTGGGGCTGGTTACTTCGCTCAGAAGAGTGCCTTCCAGCTGGTTCTGAGGAGGATCAAAATGAGCGTTCTTTGTAACCCTTGTTACACACCACTCAGAGATTAGACGCTGAGGCCTGGCCTCAGCAGGAAACGGTAAAGGAATCTGCAGGAAGCCGAGGCCCAGGGAAGGGAAACCCCTCCCTCCTGTCAGAGGCCAGGCCAGAGCGAAGATGAAATGGCAAGTGCAGCTGCAGGGCCAGACGCGGGGAAAGGGAGCGCTGGACCTCGGATGGAAGTCAGGAAAAGGCACGTGACTCTTGTTTATTGTGTGGCTTCCACGTGGAGCCTGTGCCTGGCGTTCCTCAGTCTGGGACCCGGGAAAACGCTGTTGTCTCATCTACAGGGCCAGTGGAGGGTGTGTTTCCCGAGGTCCAAGTAGTAGCCCACGGAGGGGACAACTCCCCTTGTTTCAGATTTTCAGCCTTCTCAAGGCCAGGCGACCCAAAACTCAGTTGAAAAATATTACCAGGTGAAAATGCCATCCAATTGTAAGGAATACTCAGTGTGAAGAAGCAGAGGAGGCAAAAGCATTTTGTTGCCCCCAGTTCTTTATAACAGAAAATACTCTATTCTTGAGGTTGAGAGAGAGTCTGTGATCCAACGGGGAAACTGAGTCCAAGAAGGAGGAACCGGTTATCTGAAATCTGACATTTTCTTGTAGTTGAGAACTCAGCTTTGAAGTTTCAGTTCTTGAGCTGGGCTCAGTGAGTTATGCTACTCCTGAAAAAAAAGAAAAAAGAAAATTAAGAATATTTTAGGTGGAAGGTGCTCAGTGATTTAAAACACACACACAAAAAACCCAAAAAACACACAGTACCTAGCCTCTGTATCACATCAACAGCGCACTGGACTCCATGCTACCAATTTTGTGTTAAGTTGTTACTTGAAAAAAGAGAAAAACAAACTCTACTTAATGCTGATTCTACTGGTTTAGTGGAAAAAATTTTCTAACAGGCAAGAGGCAAACAACAAAGCTTTTGAAAACCCAGACCTGGGAGAGAAATGCTGTTTCATAATGGGTATGAATAGTTATTTGGCTGTCTTTTTTTCTTTTCTTTTTTTTAATCTTTCTGGTTTTTTGATGTGGATCTCTTTCTATTCGCTCAGGAAGTTATGACGTGAGCTCTGGGCAGGGTCTGCGGTCATAGAGCCCTTTCTAAAAGGGACAGAGTGCACCTTCTGCATTTCCTCACTGTGGGGCTGACGTGCAAACAGCAGATCTTTGGAAGGCTGGTCACGATGCAGGTGCTTCTCCAGTGCAGTCGGCTGGGCCTGGCTCTCGCCCTCATCTTCATTGTGGACTCTTCAGTTCAAGGTAAGCCCCAGGACTCTTGCTCATTCTCCTGCAGCCTCCTGTGTAAGCCCCAGGGTCCACACAAGCCATTATGTTCCCTTTAAAGTACAGGATGCATTATATTGTGGGAAAGTAGGCAAAGGAAGAGAACTTTTGGTGACTGAACTTCTTAGTGTGCGTTTGGTTAAGTGTGATACTAAGAAAAAGTAAACCCTCAAACTTGTAAGCTCTTTACAATGACTGAAATTCACTATTTTATTTTTGAGTGAAAATGGATAGTTTATAAATTTTTAAAGCTCAGAAAGGAATGACAACCTGTTGTGTGGAGGAGGTGGCACGGTTGGGTGTTTTGGAGTCTCTGCCCACCCCCACCTGTCCACATCTAGCCCACGTTTTAGTGGATCCCAGTGGCGTCATAATTATTGGAACGCTGGGAAGAGCCAGTTTAGAATCAGAGTAAATTTGACTGCATGTGTTTCTCATCTTTTTAAACTTGATTCTTAGTAAAACTTCGATTATGGGTAGGCATGGTTCCTGAAAACCCTCTTAGATTTTAAAGAGGGACCCCAGAATTTTAGTATTTGTGCTGTTGGCCAGAGAAATGTCACAACTGAAAATTTCTTGTTAGGTTTCTCTGTTATTTATGGTTGTTTAGTAAGGCTGAAATAAGGTAAAACCTTGAACCACTGAGAAAACAAAAATGTTTGTAAGAACTATACAATAGCTGCTCCTTTGGCAAATAAGGGATCCTGCCTACATCAGGCAGGAGGTCACGGTAGAATTTATAGTAGAAAAACATTAAGTTCCCCTAAACTGTAAGGGAAATATTGAGTCATGGTGACACACATGTCCCGGATTTGTTTCTTTGCATCTTGTTTTTACTTCTGATGGGAAGGAAGTTGTATAGCTGATCTCAGATACATTAATTATGTATTGGAAACTTATAAAATCATTTTTTTCTTGGTATGCAATTATTGAGAACAAACAAGTAAGCAATGTTGCTGAAGCTTTCCCACTGATCTATTGATTTTTTTTTTTAAAGTGTTAAACATTATTAGTTGTAGGGAATAGGCTTTGACTTGGACCTTTTAGGAAATATCTTTAGCTCGATGAACAAGTCCATGTGTTCTCACAAGATCCAGAGCAGAAAGGTCCATGTTTGTTGCACCGACTAAGTGCTGGGTCTTCCCTGGCCAGAGCGATAGACGTCTTTACATCTTCAACATTTCCCAGACATGGCATGTTCCCCACCATGGTTCACCAGGTAAACCAGAATTACAACAAAAATGTTCCATGGAGCCGAAACCGGTTTGGCTCAGTGGATAGAGCGTCGGCCTGCCGACTGAAGGGTCCCGGGTTCGATTCCGGTCAAGGGCATGTACATTGGTTGCAGGCACATCCCCTGTAGGAGGTGTGCAAGAGGCAGCTGGTCGATGATTCTCTCTCATCAATGTTTCTAACTCTCTATCCCTCTCTCTTCCTCTCTGTAAAAAAATCAATAAAAAAATATATTTAAAAAAAAATGTTCCATGGAGTAGGTGTTCATCAAAAAGAAGTGAAGGAAAAAAGAAAGAAACCATTATGGGATTGTAAAAAGTACTAGCATTTATGTCATCACTTGGTAGGTTTAGATCTTTGTTGGAAAAGAAACCAAAAGAGAGAAAATGAATGAATTGAAAAACCAGGGTGTTTCCCAAAGAGAAGTTGGAATGGAGGGTTTGTGCTCACTTCTGAACAGGAAGAGAAATTGACCCCCACCCAGGGCAACGTGGTGCGTGAGCCACGTGATGCCAGACATGATTCGATAGCATCCTTCTCCCCTTAACCCATTTGTTTGACTGAACTGATCAAATTAACTAGCCTTTTGGCCTGCTCTTACTGAACATTTTTAGAACATCTTGGGTTACTGTATCTAGAACATCTTGGGTTAGTGTGCTAGGCCTGCCATAACAACATACCACAGACTGGTGGTTTAAACACAGAAATTTATTTCCCCACAGACCTGGAGGCCGGAAGTCCAAGATCAAGGTGCCAGCAGGGTTGACTTCACTCTTCACTCCTTGGCTTCTGGCTGGCTATCTTCTCTCTGTACCTTTAAATGGTCCTTTGTCTATGTCTGTGTCCCAATCTCCTCATCTTTTAAGGACACAAGCCATATTGGATTAGGGATCATCCATATGACCTCATTTTTCTTTAATTACCCCCTTTTAAGGCCCTGTCTCCAAAGACAGCCCCATTCTGAGGTCCTGGGAGTTAGGACTTCAACAGATGAATTGGGGTGGGAGGGGAGGGGCTGGGAGGAGAGACACAATTCACCCATATCAGTTACTATAAGTCAAACCCAAGTAAAGACATGATATACAACTGTCTACAGAGTCAAAGCAATGGAAGTGTAGGAGACCGCAGACGGCTCTTCAGAGTCTCCACACATTTTCATGTCGAACTCCTGGGGGTTACTGATGAGGCCTGTGAATCCGAAACCCTCTTATTGCCTGTCTTCCTCAAAGATGCTCATAAAGAGAGAAACTGGAAAATCCATGAGCAGGTATGGCCAAGGGGGTCAGGGCCAGACCATGTGTCCACACTGTCTCCTAGATCACAGTAAAGACACTGATTCCATTCATGTGTGCTGCTGTTTGACTGTAATGGGTTTTCCCTTCCATCTCTGGCAAATGACCATCACAGTCCCTGTGAGGAGGAACTGACACCGGTTTAAAGAAGGGAAAACTGGAACTTAAGCTCATCATCTCATTTGCTCTTTACACCCACCTTTTGCAAACAATTTATGAGACTTGCTCAAGGCCCCTTACAACTAATTAATAGCAGAACTGCTCGTCTGACTTTAAGGTCAGCTAACTTTCTATTGCAACTTGGCTTTTTCTTGGTGTGTTGAGAGACTTTCTTTATTTAAAATAAAAAAACCTTGCTTTGACTATAGCCCATGCTCTTAAAGTTCACCCCTGAGTTGAGGGACAGAGAGGGAGAAATTGAAAGTAAATATGATACTTTTATTTATTTATTTATTAAATATATTTTATTGTTTTTGTACAGAGAGGAAGGGAGAGAGATAGAGAGCTAGAAACATCGATGAGAGAGAGTCATCGATCAGCTGCCTCTTGCACACCCCCTACTGGGGATATGCCCGCAACCAAGGTACATGCCCTTGACTGGAATCGAACCCGGGTCCCTTCAGTCCCCAAGCCGACAATCTATCCATTGAGCCAAACTGGTTTCGGCAATATGATACTTTTAATAGCTTGTCAAACCATTCAAGAGTGGAGGCTCCTCTCCACAGTGTAGAGTTGACTGGTCAGTAGGAAGCAACTTCAACTTAGAGAGTGAGGTCTGTTTGTGTGCTGCCAGGCAGTGAATCAAAACAGTCTTTTCTCCTTCCTCCCATGGCAGCTTCTGCTTAAGTTTCTCTAACACCCCTGCTGCAGCAAGTCCCCATTAAGTAGAGGAAATTAATGCCCTGACTGGTTTAGCTCAGTGGATAGAGCGTTGGCCTGTGGACTGAAAGGTCCCAGATTTGATTCTGGTAAGGGCATGTACCTTGGTTGCAGGCACATCCCCAGTAGGAGGCAGCTGATCAATGTTTTTCTCTCATCGATGTTTCTGACTATCCCTCTCCCTTCCTCTCTGTAAAAAAAATCAATTAAAAATATTTTTTTTTAAAAAAAGAAGAGGAAATTAGTAAATTGTGATGATGTTGGGGAAAATGGGTACTACAGTATAAAAGGTACTACAGTGATGTTTATTTATAGAAAATATTTTTGGTAAAGCAGAAATAGTGAGAGAGAGAGAGAGAGAGAGAGAGAGAGAGAGAGAGAGAGAGAGAGAGAGAGAGAGAGAAGGAAAGGGATTCTAAATAAAAATCATTCTTCTCCCTGGAATCCATGACAAAATCAATCAGCAGATCCAATAAGTGGGGCCTTTTAGGAAGATAATCTTTCAGTACAAGAGCATACTTCCTTTTATTTTTTAAAATATGGTAATCATAAAATATTTATCTCAAGTAAAAGAGAGTCAAGATACTCCTACAATATTAGGGCCTGAATCTGTCCAATTTTCACATCCTGCCAACTCCTTTGAATAGACATGTCAGGAACTATGGTCTGTAACCACTTTCCTTATTTTAAAGACATCAGTCCCAAACCAGATCAGCTTTGGTGTGTGTGTGTTTGTGTATGTGTGTGTATGTTGGGGGGCTGGGGGGGAAGAATGATTGCTACCTTTCATTTCTTTGTAAGTTTTTAAAACAGGACATATAATTTACCTGTTTAAAGTGTATAGTCTCATGGTTTTTAATATATTCACAGATACAGGCAATAATCACCATAATCAGTTTTAGAACATTTTGTCATCCCCCCCAAAAGAAACGCCCTTTATAAAATTTAAAAGCTGAGATTCTGAACTTCGGGGAAAATTTTGTATTTTATATATATATTTTTTACTAGTTTACCAAAGTTGTACGTATTTGTTATACCAGTAAAAAGCTGTCATTAATCACCTGGATTCTTCCTCATAAAGTGTCAGTTTTTACTTCTCTGTTTAACTTCCTATCTATGCAAATATTTCTGTGGCTTGATAGTCAATGTACCAGCCGCATGAGAGGATCCTGCCCAGGCCTGCTCTGTCCAAAGGGGACTACCAGCCACGTGGGCCTTCCTGGAATGAGTGTCATGTGGCGAGTCCACACTGAGACCTGCTTTCCTTGCAAATACACAGCAGATTTGAAGTCTTAGTATAAAAAAAATCAGTAGCTTTTGTATTCCGTTAAGTAATATAATAATATTTGAATATGTTGGCTTAAATAAACTGTATGTAAGTGAGTTTCACTTATATCTTTTTACTCTTTAAAATATGGCTGCTCACCTCGGTTGCAGGTTCATCCCTGCCTCAGGTTGGGGCATGTTTAGGAGGCAACCAATCAAGGTGTCTTTCTCACATTGAGGTTTCTCTCTCTCTCTCTCTCTCTCTCTCTCTCTCTCTCTCTCTCTCTCTCTGTGTGTGTGTGTGTGTGTGTGTGTGTGTGTGTCTGTCTGTCTCTCTCTCTCCCTTCATTCCTCCTACTCTCTCTAAAAGTCAATAGAGGAAGTATCCTTGGGTGAGACTTAAAAAATAAATAAATAAAATACAGCTGCTATAACATTGAAAATTCTATATGTGGTTTCGTCTTCTGTAACTATTGGACAGCATTTGTCTAGGCCAGCGATTTCAACCTTTCTCATTTCCGGGCATACAAAACTAATCACTGAAATTCTGTGCCACACAAAAAACATATATTCTAGTTTTTGCTAATCTGACCAAAAATGGGTGTCATTTTGATTCATTCACACTGGTCAGCTGTTGCTGTGTTGGCAGCTGTTATTTTAAAATCTGACAATCTAAGGGAAAAGAGGTCAGTGTCCCTGACTAAATAGTCAGGTATTGCATGTTTAAAAAATTCTTGGCCCTGGCAGGGTAGCTCCGTTGGTTGGAGCATTGACCAGATGCACCAACGACGCACCAAGGTTTCGGGTTTGATCCCCAAGTAGGGGCACATGCAGGAGATAGCCAGTGAATGCATGAGTGAGTGAAAGAACAGATTGATGTTTCTCTCTTTCTCTCCCTTCCTCTCTTTCTCTCTCAAATCAATTTTTAAAAAGTTTAAGAAAAGTAGAAGTTAAAAATATATATATTGTTGCACACCAGTGTGCCTGCTGCTACAGTGGTTGAAAATCACCGGTCTGACAACATAGGGTGTGAAGACAGCACCCCCTGCTGGAAAAGATGTTGGATTTTTTTTTTTTTTTTTAATCCCACCTACAAGTCTAGGCTTCTAAGTAGTACATAATTATAATAGATTCCAAACGTAGGCTGCTTCAGGAAAGAACCAAAGGGGAAAGAAAGGGTGAAAATGCATTAACTACCTACCATATGCAAAGGCTTGCGATAGATATTTTCACATACATTTGTCTTACATAGGAACTCTTTGGGACACTATTCACACTTGAAAGAGGAGAAATTGAGAATCAGAGAGGCATTTAATGGTAGAGCAGTAATTTAAATTCTGCCCTCTCTGCTAGCTATTCTCTACCAGAGCACGGTCCTTGTTGTTCTCCTAAGCAGAGAAACTAGCATTTACAAGGCTCTGACCATGTGCTATTCTAAACAATTAATATTGACATCTCATTATTAGATCTACTACTTTTCCTCATTTTATGGATGAGGCAATTGAGGCATGGGGAGGCTAAGTAGGTCAAGGTCACACAGCTGGTAAAGGGCAGGCATTGTAATGTCATCTTGCTACCTGACCCCCAGCCTCCAGGCAGTGACAGAGCTAACTTTATTTATTTATTTACTTAAAAATCTTTATTGTTGAAAGTATTACATATGTCCCCTTCTTCCCTCCAACACATTTTAAATGATGAGCTGTCCCAGACCAGACATTATATTTAGGAACCATGGGAAAGGTTGTGATAGACCAGCAGTCCGGAAGGAAGGGAGGAAGGAAGGAAGGGAAAGAAAGAAAAGAAGAAAAGAGAATATTTAGTTCTCTTTTCTACATTAGAGTCTTTTGTTTATAATTTTAAATAAATATTGTTTATTACAGCAATTTAGAAAATTAAGTGAGGGGGAAAAAAATCACCGGAGTCAACCACTAGTTGTTTTTGTGTATTTTCTCCCATCTTCCCCCATATCTGTTTCTATGGTTTCTTTAACCTTTATGTATGTAAACAACTATTATGCATCACAGTGACATTCTGCTTTTTTCATTCATTTTAAAATAGAGGTTTTCCTACGATGTTACATAGTCTTTTCCCTAACTACTTTTTTTTTTTTTTTTTTTTTTTTTACCATTTGGTTAACATTCTTTCATATGAATGCCAAAGAACTTATTTGAGCATTTTCTATTGTTTTGATTATATTTTCCTATTTTGAATAATACTAAGGCGGACAATTTTATGTATCTTTTGAATTTTACCTATTCCTCTATCTCCGTATTGATACATGTAAATATGTATCATGTATATCTTAATGATATGATAATTTGGCAGTTGTTGTATTTATAAAATGAATCAGAAATACTAGCTAGAGACGAAGCCGGTTTGGCTCAGTGGTAGAGCTTCGGTCTGCGGACTGAAGGATCCCAGGTTCGATTCCGGTCAGGAGCATGTACGTTGGTTGCGGGCACATCCCCAGGGGGGGTGTGCAGGAGGCGGCTGGTCGATGTTTCTCTCTCATTGACATTTCTGGCTCTCTATCTCTCTCCTTTCCTCTCTGTAAAAAATCAATAAAATATATTTTAAAAAGAAATACTAGCTAGAAAAAAAGTTGAGGATAGAGATAATAGTCATGAGAAAAAGGGAAATAATGATGAAGATGATGTTTTGAAAGCATTCAGTGGTTCTGCAGTCTTTTGAGAACCAAGTTCTTGGCCATCCCATTGAGATGTAAGGGGAACTTGACCTCAGGAGAGTCAGTTTTCAACCTCTGATGGTGCTGTCAGGAGAGAATGGGACACTGCTTGTGCCTATGCTCCTGGAAACACAGATACCCAGGAGGAAGAAAGGCAGCACTCCAAAACCCACACTATCTGGGGCACTGGGTAAAGAGATTAGCAGTAATTTCCCTTTCTTTTTTATAATTGATTTCAGAGAGGAAGGGAGAGGGAGAGAGAGAGATAGAAACATCAATAAGGAGAGAGAATCATTGATTGGCTGCCTCCTGCACGGCCCACCCTGGGGATCGAGCCCACAACCTGGGCATATGCCCTGACTGGGAATTGAACCAGCAACCTTTCAGTGCACAGGATGATACCCAAGCAACTGAGCTACACCGCCCAGGGCATCCCATCTTTTGCTATTGCAAAAACGCTGCAGCGATTGTCCACAGCACTATATCTCTCCCCCGCCTTAAGTAGTTGTTATGATCTATACAGGACAACAAAGTGCTGGGCTTTAAAAGCACCTTTCCTGCTTTTCAAGGACTGTATATGTCAGCTATAATTAAAAAAAAAAAAAAAGGATTTTAGGCATGCTGCGTCTTGCCAGGTGATCATTAGTTGCACCCATGTGAATAAAGCGTGTGCTTGGGGTGGGAGGAGATAAATCTTTTGAAGGGTCAAGTATTTCTCACCACTGGGCCTCCATCCTTGCTAAATGGAGGAATGAAGGATTTATTTCAAGAATTAATGACAGATCTCCTATATAATCTCATAGCATTTTCATAGACATTAAGCTCACAGGAAGCTATGACAGACTAGGATAGTCCAGCCTGCCCGTCCCTTTGTGAGGAGGAGCCTTGTTGTTTTGAAATCTCTGACTAGATCGAAGGGCAAAAAAAGAGGCCACGTTTTTAACTGCTTGCATTCCTAAGAGCTCTCTATGGCTCTCAGGAAATAGGACTCTGTACTATGTCCGATGCATGCAATAGATTCCTAACCTTTGTGAACGTGATTGGACTCATCTCTGTAAGGTGAGACCGGCAGCACCCAGATGGCCTCCGTGTCCCTTTGTGTAAAATGAAGATGATAGCACAAACATAGTGCTAGTTAATGTTAGCTGGTGTTTACTGAGTGCCTGGCACTGTGTTAAGGTCTTTTTTTTTTTTTTTTAAGATATTTTTTAAATATATTTTATTGATTTTGTACAGAGAGGAAGGGAGAGAGATAGAGAGCTAGGAACATCAATAAGAGATAGTCATCAGTCAGCTGCCTCTTGCACACCCCCTACTGGGGATATGCCCACAACCAAGGTACATGCCCTTGACCAGAATCGAACCCGGGTCCCTTCAGTCCCCAAGCCGACGCTCTATCCGTTGAGCCAAACCAGTCTTGGCTGTGTTAAGGTCTTTACATGCATTTCTCTTTTAAGTTTTTGTGACCAGCTTATGGAAAAGAGACAGTTAGTATCTTCATTTTGCAGTGAGAGCTCAGGGAAGAGAAGGCTTCACGGCCCAGCAGCAGAGCTCCGGCTTCACTCTGACTTCACCAAGGCCTATTTTAAGCTTTCCTTCTGGCGACTTTGTAAAGGTGTTGTGAGAAGGACAGATGGTCTAGATGTAAAAGGCTGGTACCCAGTGTGTGCTCCTGTCATCTTTATGGTCATAAAATCTGTCCACACCTTACCTGCTACCAAATGTAGAATCTAATCAAACATTTCTTAGTGACAGAGGATAGACTAGAAGCTGTGTACGAGATACTTATTAACCACGTGGGTTGCTTGCTTGGGCAGGTTTACCTGTGTGGAAGGCCAGCTACCAGAGGGTCCGCTGTAATCCCGACAGCACTTCTGCAAACTGCATTGATGAAAAGGGACCGCTGTTCGACCAACTTCTAGGCCAATTCAACAGAATCCTCCCACCCAGGACTGACCCTTTTCTGTAAGTGATTTTCTCTACTTTTACTTTCACCAACCTCTCTTGAGATCTTGGCATGGAGGTCATCGAGGGTGTTTTTCTTCAGGCTTTTGCTTTGGGGGGTTTGGTTTTCACTGCACAGTACATGGTAAAATGCATTTACTAGTAGACCAAAAGTGCAAGAATATGTGGTTCAGGTATTCTTTTGCAAAGTCTTTATTTTGGCAGAGACAAAAATTGAGTAAAAAAAAAAAATTGTGAAAATAATTGGTGGGAATATTTTTTTTTACCAACAAGCACTGAAAATGATTGAACATTATTTTATTTATGTAAATAGAGCACAATAGATACTAAAATCTAATAAAAGTCCATCAACCTCATAGGTAAACAACATGCTACATCCCTAAAGTCTAATATTATTTAATCATAAGAAGGGATGAAGTACTGACACATGCTACATCATGGATGAATCCTGTAAGCATTATACAAGTGTAAGAAACCAGACACAAAAAGCCACATATTATATGATTCTGTTTATAGGAAATGTCCCGAATACATAAATACATAGAGGGAGAAAGTAGATTAGTAGTTGCCAGGGGCTGGAGAAATAAAGAGTGGCTAATAGATATAGGATTCTCAAGGGTTCATAAAAATGTTCTGGAATTAGATAGTGGTGATTTTTAGCAAGAAGAAATCAAGGAGAGGAAGAATAAATAGACATGACTTACAAAAGAAAACTACGGCCTTGTCTGGCTAGCTCAGTGGGTTAGAGTGTCGTCCCAGTTTGCCAAGGTTGCGGGTTTGATCACTGGTCGGGGCACATATAAGAAGCAACCAATAAATGCATAGATAAGTAGAACAACAAATCACTGCCCCCTTCCTCTCTTTCTCTACTCAATAACAAAAAAGGAAACCAAACCTCTTCTTGATCAAGTAAAACCTGCTTTAAACTTGCAAAAAAGATTCAATAGGAACTCATAAGTAACAAAAAATTGAATTCCACTAGAATTGGTTATTTCAATGAGTATCAAAGTTATCTAACATACAGCAAAAAATTAATTATTAAGAGGATTTTCATAAAAGTTTTAGTCCTGAGAGCTAAACCTAGAAAATCACTCTCCTGTAAGCCAGCTAAATCATCATGCCCAAACCAGCTCAGCCCGTCGTGACCTGGGGGATCCTGGCGACCCTCTCCATCACCGCCTTCACTGAGCAGGAGGTGACATCATCGCCACCTCAGAAGCCAACTCTGCAGTCCTGTCCTGTGCTTTTACTTGTGTCCTTTTGTCCCTTGAGGATGTATTACGTGCCTAGAAAAAGAATCCCAGGATTTCCCCTCCCGGGTAATTTTGTCTTGCTCCTTCATGGTCCATGATGCCCGCTGAGGCTGTCGGTACCATGAAACCAAAGTGACGGGACAGAAGTAGGTGGTTCTGCCAGTTTGCTAGACCTTTGATTGCACATCAAATCAGGGCCTGATTACTCCACACTTGTCCAACCTGCCTGCGAGGTTCACAAATATTTTCCCAGCTCTGTGGTCATCACTAACTTCAAATTCCCCAGTGTAACCATCCTTTGTTATCACAGTTAGAAACCAGAGGATGACGTTGGAGCACGGCCTAACAAGAGCCTGGCTGTCGCCTCTCTTTTCGGCATAGCTGATACTCTTGGGGGCACAAGCTTCGACAGTCACGCACCCTGTAAGGCATTGCAGGAAGATGGAGGAAGGAGCCCTTATGCTTTTGCTTTAAGTCCATGGCACTAACCTTGAACTGATATTACAGGATCCTCTGTTATGTTAGGTCTTAGGTTTCAATAGTGATTTATTTAAATCTAAAATATTAGAGGAATAACCCAAATTCTTCAAAAACACTTATTTTACACCATTTCTTCTCTCCTCAAATCTCTATGATTTTCCCTCTCCACAGCCAGTAACTTTCCTTCTCACTCTTACAAGTGAGTTCTGTCAAAGCACTGTGAATTATTAGAAGTTTTGTAGGAATTTTAAATTAGGGGAAAATGTCATCTATCTAGGCTGTCTTACTTATCCTTTCTTTAGTGGAAGGAAATGAATAAAAGGGTCTTTTATTTTTAATAAAGGATCCCTTAAACGTATTCCAGGTATAGAATTCTTAGGCTCTAAGAAAACTAGCATTGTTTATATGAGTTTGCAATGGGTAGATGTGGAATAGATAAGAGCCACGAGTTACGTAAAACAAGGGTAGGTAGGCAAACATGTGAAAGGGTCTGACTTATTTTTTGTTTGAAAGCTTTGAATATGTGAACTTTTAACTTTTCATTTGGTTAACTAATTAACTGGGTGGCTGCATTTGTTTTCTTATGTGAAAAATGTATTACAATGATCCTTCTTATGTCTCTAACTTTACTGTGGTTTTTTCATTTTTCTGTCTTACTTCAGAACGACGAGATTCCAGGACTTGAATGATGTCTTCCCTCTTTCTGAGGAGTATTCTGGCTCAGGCTCAGGCTCTGGCTCTGGCTCAGGATCTGGCGGTGGCTCTGAAGATGGCTTCCTAACTGAAATTGAGGATGACTACAGACCAGCAATTGATTTTTCCTCCAACTTTCAGCCTTTGCCTGCAGATGACCTGGACTTGGGGCGAGATGGACCAGAACAGAATTTTATCATATAAAAGAGAGGGTTTCCCACCTTGACACCAGCCAATGCATTCAGTATATTTTGTGTACCACAGTTCAATGATTAATTTTGGCACAAAAGGTTTTATAGAAGTTTTAAAACATCTGAAAAAGAAGTTTAAGTTTTATCAACTTTTTCCCCCCTCATGAATCATTAAAGCCTCCTTCACCTGTATTGTCTTAGAAAATATTTGCACTTTCTTTATATCATATTCAATCAATGTTGCTATGGATTCATTAGGTTCCTTGTGTTTATAAAATTGCTTTACAGAATAAATTATACTGTTTTTCTTTTTAAAAAGTGGAAGAGTTTGAGAAGCAAATTGACAGGCAATGTTTCATACCTAAGGCTTCAGAAACCTGACTTTCTATGAATTATAGATACGCCCCTTTTTAAGTGAAAACACACACACACACACACACACAAAAAAAAAAAAAAAAAAAAAAACCAACACACAAAACCAACAACAACAAACGGATGAAACATAGTGAATTTAAAGAGTAGGTATTTGGCATGTTTTACAGTGTAAAGGGTACAGCCCTAGTATTATCATTGGGTGAGTTTGCAGAGCTACTGGACATGGTTTGTTTATGAGCATGATTGCTGTTTCAGTTATAAACTTAAGACCCAAACTAAAGCACAGCTGTGCTCTCCATACCTCATACTGCTTTACCTTTCCCCCTGGATACCTGTGTATTTTCCAATGTTCTATTAAAGCAGAAGTATAATCAAAGGGTTAAGCTGTCTGGGATCTCTTGTCTTAAATTCAGGATTATAATTATTTTTGCTCATATTTTATTAACAAAATAGAAGTCTTATTAACAAAATACAAATTTAAAAAAATATTTTATTGATCTTTTACAGAGAGGAAGGGAGAGGGATAGAGAATTAGAAACATCAATGAGAGAGAAACACCTATCAGCTGCCTTCTGCACACCCCCCACTGGGGATGTGCCCACAACCAAGGTACATGTCCTTGACCAGAATCGAACCTGGGACCTTTCAGTCTGCAGGCTGACGCTCTATCCACTGAGCCAAACTGGTTTCGACAAATTTTATTTTACAGTGAGATCCAACTACGTTTCTAGAATCAAGTCCTATTAAGTTGTAGATAAAGAAAACTATCAGACTACAGCAAGAGGGTTCTTCTTGTCCAAGCACTTCCTCTCTTTTGGAGGTCATTCCCATTTCTGTTCCTCCTGGTTCGGTGAAGCTTATTGTCATCATTGTCATGGATCCTGTTCTGCATCGTCCAGATCTCCTCTTGAGAACTGAGGACTTAATCTCTGCTGAAGAGAGCCACCTTGTCCACCTACCCCTTCTTCCCAGGGCAGCCTGTACCCAGGGACTGGTCGAGGAAGTGGCCCACATCTGGAGTCACAGATGAGCTAATGTCAAAGACCTGGCTTCTAGGGGATGGGTTAATCAAGGTAACTAAGGGAGATCAGGGTCGTGGTCTCTACTGATTGGTGAGCACCAAGGTAGGAGGTAGTTGATCTGGGCCCAATGTCAGCCATGGCTTCACTTCATCTGGTTTTACCACTTTTCTGGGTCTGGGGCTGAAACACAACTGAGGTCTCGATGTTATCTCTAGTTTGATTGAAACTCTGTCTCTGTGGTCAGTAGACCCGAGACTTTTTCCTAAGATTATTTGATGCCAACCGAGGCCTCTTTGTCTCGGGGGGCTTAATGATTAAGGGAGTGGTTGTGCGAGGAAGAAGGAAGCTGGTGAATTGAATGAAGGTTTTGAATGAGGCCAGTTTGAATCAAAAGGAAAGAAAGGAAAAAAGATAATATTAAAGAAACAAAGTTTCTGCATGGTTACACCAATATTGAGTGTAACCAAAGTTTCTGCATGGTTACACCAAAGTTTCTGCATGGTTACACCAATATATGTAACCATGGTTACACCAATATTGTTTCTGCATGGTTACACCAATATTTCTGCATGGTTACACCAATATTGGTTACACCAATATTCTGCATGGTTACACCATCCCCTAGAAGCCAGGTCTTTGACATTAGCTCATCTGTGACTCCAGATGTGGGCCACTTCCTCGACCAGTCCCTGGGTACAGGCTGCCCTGGGAAGAAGGGGTAGGTGGACAAGGTGGCTCTCTTCAGCAGAGATTAAGTCCTCAGTTCTCAAGAGGAGATCTGGACGATGCAGAACAGGATCCATGACAATGATGACAATAAGCTTGATACTTTTGGGATATAGGTTTAAATACCCAGGAGAAGGTGTTGACAAGCTGCTAGAACAGCTCTTTTTTAAAAAAAAAAAAAAATTTATTGATTTTTTACAGAGAGGAAGGGAGAGGGATAGAGAGTTAGAAATGTCAATGAGAGAGAATCATCGACCAGCTGCCTCCTGCACACACACACACACACACACACACACACACACACACACACACACATCCCCACTGGGGATGTGCCCTCAACCAATGTACATGCCCTTGATCGGAATCGAACCTGAAACTTTTCAGTCTGCAGACTGATGCTCTATCCACTGAGCCAAACCAGTTTAGGCTAGAACAGCTCTTAAAAGTTTGGAAAGAGAAACATCCCTTTTAAGCAAAGTATTAATAGAAATGTTAGAACTGCCTTGGCAGACAGTGGAAGAAGGGAGTCAAAAGGTTCAAGGAAGTGAGCATGCTAGAATGAACAGACGGTGTAAACCTTGAAAACCCACCAGATGACTGCTCTTCAGGAAGGCCAAAGCAATGGAGAGTATACTGGCGAGAGAGACAGCATCTCTGAGCTATCCTAAGTGGTAGCTCTCCTGTGAAGGCAGGATTGATGGTAGAGATGTTGCAGAATTGGATTCTCTAATAGCAATGGAATGATAAGGTCCCCAAATAATAGAGTCCAGGTGGCAGTCCTCTGCCATCAGAAGCCAGTGGGGCAATTATCATAATAAACAACAACATTAGAATGAAATCCAGGAGAGCTTACTGGATTGGTCATCTCTAGAGGTAAGATAATGGGTAAGAATTCCGCATCAAATTCCAACGTGTGTTGAAGAGGGTGGGGGGGTTTCCCACACCCACCAGCAAGTCTCCAAACACCACAACTGGATGTTCCAATTTAATTCAATTCTGAACTATCTGCCTAGAGATAGCACCAGATCCCACAGGTTAAAGGCTCAGCCTCATTAAGCTGCTCTCCACTTCAGATGCCAATCACAATGGTAATTTTTCCAAGTTTCCGCATTATAATTAGAGTGGACATACCTGGTAATTAACACAACTTCCACATTGCTTTCTTGACCTGTGTGACAGGAGCCATTGTAATGAGGAAGACAAAGTGAGACTGGTAAAGCTAGCCGACTACCCATCCACCATAAATAAACAGTTCATCCTAGCTGGTATATCAGAGATCAGCAGTACCTTTAAAAACCTAAAAAACACAAGGATGCTGGTCCTTGTAATGTCTCCATGTAATTCACTAGTCCAGGTCTTGCAAAAACCAGGCGACTTCTGGAGGATGATAGTGCACTGTCACAAATTTAAACAACTAGTAGTTCTAATTGCAGCAGCTTCAGGTTGGTGGTAGGCCAGCACTGTCAAAAGGAAGCTCTCTCTCATCATTGATGTTTCTATTTCTCTCTCCCTCTCCATTCCTCTCTGAAACCAATAAAATACATGTTTATAAAAGGAAGAGAGAGGGAAATAGAAACATCAGTGATGAGAGAGAATGCCTCCTACAGGCTCCTACTGGGGATCAATGCTCAACCACTGAGCCACAGCAGCCTGGCGACATTGTACATCTTTTTAAAAATATATATATTTTATTGATTTTTTTACAGAGAGGAAGGGAGAGGGATAGAGAGCCAAAAACAATGTCCAGCTGCCTCCTGCATACCCCCCACCGGGCATGTGCCCACAACCATTGTACATGCCCTTGACCGGAATCGAACCTGGGACTTTTCAGTCCACAGACAGATGCTCTATTCACTGAGCCAAAAACTGTTTCGGCAACATTGTACATCTTGATAAAGGCATGGGTTAAACGAATTTATGCATTTGTCAAAACTGATAAAACGGAACACTTAAGATTTGTACATTTGTAGGATGTAAATTTTATCTTTACTTATGTAAATGATACCTCAGTAAAAAGGGGAACAGTGAGATAAAGCATTAAGAACATTTATCATGATTACAGAAGCACTGGCTGAAGCTGGTAAGCAGGATGTATTCTACCTGCTCTGGAAGGTTAAGAGAAAAAAGTGTTTTTCTACTTGTTCACACGCTTTAAATTCAATTTTCTTTTTCTTTCTTTTCTTTTCTTCTCTCTCTCTCTCTCTCTTTTTTTTTTTTTTTTTTTTTTTTTTTTTTTGAGGGAGCATATTTGTATTTGATTATTTTTGTCTTAACTTTGGCTGTCAACTCTAGTAGGGAAGACAGCAAATAGCTGCTCCTTGACACTGTCACAATTATTAATCTGACATCTTAGTCTTTATGAATTTGGATGGATGGCCAATTTTCTCCTATTTCTTAATAGGTAGAAGCTCAAATTATATTCTCACCTAATGCTTTTTAACCTGAACCTGGTACTTTTTGGTGTGAAAGTGAACACTTGCTAGTCACATTTTCACAACCTCTTATTTTGCAAAGGGCACAAATGTAGCGATGTCACAGTCCTTGGCTGGCAGGACGATGTACTTCTCACAATCTAGCTTTAACTTCTGGCTTAAGTAGGTAAGTAGATGGAGAACTCACTCAGCAGTTCTGTGGCACCTGGCATCTATTACATTAGCACGGTTATTGGGTTTAATCAGTAGAATCAATACTTAGTACAAATTGGCCTGTGGCGTAATCTTCTTTGCCAGCTTTTATTTATACTTGGCTTCCCCTGTATGTCTTTGCTACTGCTACTTTTATTTTTTAAAAAATATATTTTATTGATTTTTGTACAGAGAGGAAGGGAGAGAGATAGAGAGTTAGAAACATCAATGAGAGAGAGTCACCAATCAGCTGCCTCTTGCACACC